TATACAGAGAGAGAATATATAGAATTCAGTATTAAAGTATTAATGTAAAGCAGATAAAACAAGGAAAATATGTTATTTTCCAACAAAACATATGCACACATGTATGTTTATTTTTATTTACACATAAACAAAAGACTAATGTTAAAATATATATAAAAAGTTTGGAAGCAAAACGACAGGAAGTCTCACTTCTTAAGTCTTACTTTAAAACTTAGACTACAGAAAAGAGGACTAGAGTCTGGTGAAACGCCACATACAATGAAACAATGATGTTATTTCACTGTTGTACTTCTTCCTAGAAGCACAGTTATTGAAGTTTCCAGATATTGCCTCAGCTACTGCAGCATCTGTGAGCAGCACTGAAATCCTTGCAACTTAAAGAGAAACATGCATTTGCAATTTCACAGACTTTGTAAGTAAAGATATGTATATTTCAATGAGCATGTAAAATAAAATAAAATAAAATGGAGTTTTAAGATGAAAATTTAACTCTGAAAGACTATCCACCCTCACCTGGCTCATCCAGCTCCATCACCACACGCTCAGCCTCATCCAAACAAGATCCAGCAGCCCGAGATAAAATACGTCCTCCTCAACTGTTGCAGTTGCTTGCCAGTCGAATGTCAACCTACCACCTCGCCTCCTCCAACCTGCTTCTCCTACCTTCCAGGTGTCTCCCTCTCCTGCTACCACCACCGTGTCAGGGCCTCAGGGGGGAAGAAAATCCTAACCACTAACCTAATCATCTCATTCAAGCTTTCTACCTCTCACAGTGCTACAATTCTCATCTGGTGTCTGAGCACCAAACCTGTCATTCATGTCAATATGTTCAATCATGGCAATAAATCCATTCTAATTTCACGTTTGAGTCTTTCAAGGTTGAAATACATATTATTTGCTTGACTTACCTGTTTACCCACTGATGTGTGCCACGATATATTACTTTCCTCTTTATACTTACAGACATAAGAGACAAGCCTGTGATCCATAATGTTAATAATTTACTATAAAAATTGTCTGAAAAGTTTAACTATGGCTTTAAATAAACAAAGACTGTGCCAGAACATAAAGTCTTTGTCTTCTTATAAAACAATAAACACTTGCTAGTGGGGATACTGTGATGGACCCTCACTAAACAGATTTTTTTTTATTCATTCATGAAGTGTAATTTGAAAGCAAATGCAATTAAGTGGCTTATCAATTTACATAAATTACCTAATACATTACATACACATTTCCTTAACTACAGTTTAAAAATTTTAAAAATGCCATCTTAACTTGTTTATGATGGTTACTGTAAGTTAAGCATCAGATTGCTTAATTGTTTAAAAATTTAGGTAGTTTAAATACAAATTT